GGGGCCCGGGGCCGGGGGGCGCGCTGCGGCGTCCGTGGGGCCGAGCCCGGGAGGGGCCCCGAGGGAGGGGTGCGCAGGGACGGTGTCAAGGGACAGAGAGGAAAGAGGGCGTGCGTGGTGGCCGGAGGCGGCCGGAGTGCGCAGGGAAGCGGGAAATGGGGAGTGAGGGCCCTGAGATTGGGAGGGGTGGGCAGGAAGTGGGGGGCCGAGAGTGGAAGGGGAGTTGGGCGGAAGCTGGGGGGAAGGGAGGGGAGGGGGCCCGGGGTGGGCGAGAGGTGGGAGTCTGGGTGCGGGTGGGGCCGCCCCGGGGGGGAGGAGGGCGGGCTGTGGGCAGCCTCTGGCCATCTCGGGGGACCCCCTGGACCGCTATGGACAGTCGGAAAGTGGTGCCCAGTCTGGGGCGGCCTGCAAGACCCGGTTCCAGCCATCTGGAGGGCTTGGCCTTGCGGACCCCCGAGTGGGAAACTTCTAGATCTGGGGAGAGGGCCCATGCGAGCCGCTGGAGGTGCCCCTGGTGGAAACGTGGACGGGGAGGGCCCCGTCTTGCTGCCCGGCTCCGAAGTAAGAGGTAACCCAGCCGCCTCCTCCCTCGCCACGGTTCTCCGATCTTCCTTTTGGGGGATGTGAGAAGCTGGTTATCTATTCAGAAGCTAGTTTCAAAACTGATGTTTCAGTGGAAAAAAGAAATCACAAACGTGTTGGCCAAGGACCCCGAGTCTTCCTAGTTCATCCGTTTTCTTTCTCTTGTTCCTCTGGCTTCTCTGTCCCCTGATGCCACTGTTCACGTTTTGCTATTCTGTTTCATTCAGTTTTGTCCCCCAGGGTTTCTTGCAGTGACGCTCTGAGGAGGCCTTTGGTGCCGTTAGCCTGTGTGAATATTTTGCCACTTCGGGAACAGGGTGTTCAGAAGGGAAGTGTGTGGAGTGGTTGGTTCACATAAGGTTCTCCCCCCACCTCGACTTGGAAGATTTAAACTAAGGGAGCTGTGTCTGTTTGCCAGTGTCGCATCTCTCTTGCTGGGGCAGAGGTTGGTCCTCTTGGAGCAGAGGAGAGGGAAGAAGTGTATGCTGGGTGGGCATCAGAGCCCAGGACAGACACTTAAGCTCCCTCTTAATCTCAGCAGGATCCCCCAGCTGATAAGGATGGCCATTCATTCAGCAAGAATTAACAGGGAACAGAATAAAGTCAGGCAGCATTTCTCAAACTGGGGTCCCAGGGCTGCTCCTCAAAGGAGTTCCAGGAGAGTCAGTTTTTCCTTTGTAAATAAACTTTTTTTGATTTTAGAACAGTTTTAGGTTTATAGAATTATTGGGGAGATAGTACAGAGAGTTCCCATATACTCCACACCCAGTCTCCCCAATTCTTCACATCTTTCTTTGGGAGTTTGTACTTCTGTGTTTTTGTTTTGTGGATAATCTCGAAATGATTCTGAGTTATAACTCTTCTCTTTTCGAGGTAATTCGTAACTGAAGCGTTCGGAAGGAGGAGAAAGTCCACGTTTCTCAAACTGAGATCTTTTGTCTGGGATGATACAGTCTCAGGAGTCAAAGAACTTTTTTCCTTTATGCTCAGATAACGTTGGTGTGGGTTCTGGAGTCAGCTGAACCTGGTTCTGATAGTTTCCCAGGGCTGCCGGAACAAACTTGGTGGCTTAAACGAAAAGGGATGCATTGTCTTACAATCCACGGCCAGAAGTCCGAAATCAAAGTGTCAGAGAGGCCACACTCCCTCCACAGGCCCTGGAGGAGAATCTTTTCTTGCCTTTTCCAGCTTCCGCGGGCTGCACGCGGTGCTTAGCTTGCGGCAGCAGATCTCCGGTCTCTGCCTCTGTCTCCACGTGGCCTCACCCCTGTGTCTCTCTGTCTCTTGTCCTCTAAGGACACCTGTCATTGGATTTAGGGCCCACCCTAAATCCAGGATGATTTTATTTTTAAGAGCCTTAAGGTCATCTGCAAAGACCGTTTTTCCAGATAAGGTCACTTTCACAGGTTCCTGGGGTTAGGGCTTGGACATATGTTTTAGGGTCCACTACGTGGGCTAGAGCGGTGCCCGCCAGTCGCTGGGGGTCTCTGTGGCTCATTGGTGGAGCGGGGTTGGTGAAAGGACTGTGTGGCACAGCGTGTTTGCTCCATAAGTGAACACTTCTGTGGAGTGGCACCTGCTCCCGTAATGGGCTGGTGATGGCGTCCAAGTTGGCTGGTCGCTGCCCAGGGCGAGGCCGCCCTGGTTCCTGAGCAGCCTGGAGCACGCGGTGCGCCGGAGGCATTGCTCTGAATTGTGCCTGGGTAGGGGAGTGCAAAGTCCCAGGGCTGGGGCACAGGGCTGTGCACCTGGATCTGAGAGCACTGGGCGCTGGCTGACGGTCCCCTGGAAAAGTCAGAGATAGTCCAGCCACTGGGGGGATGCCTGGGGACGTGGCAGCTGGACAGGTCAAGGAGGAGCGCCCCTCATGACTTGGGGGTGAACCAGGCTGCTGGGGGCTTTAGGCCTTCTCTTGGGATGAACTTCCTTCACTGGCCTCAGCGTGTTCCAACCTGGACCCTTCTGGGATCTGGATGCCTTGGCCAGCCCTGTTCCGCTCACCTGTCCCTCACGAGGCAGCATCCTGCAAGCTGCTTGTGATTCCACACCCCTGAGATTCGAATCTCTGTGTGGATGGGGACAGGGACGTCGGCCAGGACACCCACAGGAATCTCCCAGTGCCTCATACGTGGGAGGTGAGCCCGAGGTGTCCTTGGTGCTGGCGAGGGTTCTGAACGTGGAGTCTGACTGGGGTGGGGCACCAGCCATGTGGCCTTGAACTAGCATTTCACCTCCCGAGCCTGTTTCCTTATCTGTAGCAATACTCACCTGCACACAGCCTCGGTTTCCTCATCTGCAATGGGAGTAATGCCACTGGGGGCCCAGGAATGTGGGGGAAGTGGACCTCGGGGCTGTGGAGCAGGGGCCTGGCGGTAAGCAGTAGATACTTCTTTCTTTCTTTTTTTTTTGTTGAGGAAGATTGGCCCTGAGCTAACATCTGTTGCCAATCCTCCTCTTTTTGCTGAGGAAGGTTGGCTCTGATCTAACACCTGT